TATTTGAAAAAGGACTTTTTGTTATCCTTAATCTTGGACGCTAATCCGAGCTCTATGTCCGCCTTGGCCTTCCTAACAGCTCGCCTACAGGCCCGAGCAGAGGAGGTATACTCCTCTTTGGAGATTTCACCCCCCTTCCACCGGGCGTACGCTGCCTTTTTGGCAAGCAGGCAGTCCCGGACGCCCTTGGTGAGCCAGGGGGGCTTACGGACACTCCTGCCCCCCTTGCTTCTTGTCGGGATGGACACCCCTTGGGCCCTGAGTATCGTTTCCTTAAGGAACGACCACTCGTCCTGGACACTCGTCCTAGTTCTTATCTGAATTCTGTTACCCAGTTTCCCCATTCCTGTGGCTGCCCCTGTCCTAGTTCTAGTGGAAGCAAGTTGCATTCCCACATGTAGGAGTTGATGATTATAATTTAGACAGCGTTCCCCAACTCCTTGTATTGCTGCTACTCCATGCTGTCCTTCCCAAGTTAACAACCAGCTTCTTTTTCCCAACTATTCCCCCTGCATGGGCATGCGCACATGCTTTGGGCTTTCTTATTTTGCTGGCATGTGATGGCAGGTAAAAGGTACAGTAGCTGCCCTGAGGAATTCTGAAACCGGCTTCAGATATGGCAGAGTCGAGAGACATGCAAAGGGGCAAGGAGAAAATGTCTAAACCAGCTCAGGAGGGATGTCATGTGCAGAGGCAGCATGTAGGAGGCCTCGGGAAGCTGATGGAGGACTCTAAGGCTGGCACTACTGATTTGGGTAAAGGAGGTCTCCTCTCCATGGACTGCCACTTCAACAGGGTGGAGAGGCTTGCTTGCACCGATGACCCTAAGAGCAACACCATTAGGAGTCTTGCACTCCTGGTATGGTCACCCATGGCACTCCCGGTATGGTCAAAGGTGAGGTATCAGATGAAGAGCTATCCCACACAATGCAAAAACCGCAACGGTGGAGCAGGTGGCGCCCTCCCCTATCTTGGGGGTCTTCAAGAGGAGACTGGATAAGCACCTGGCTGGGATCGTCTGACCCTAGCGCTCTTTCCTGCCCAAGGCAGGGGGTTGGACTTAGTGATCTGCTAAGGTCCCTTCCAACCCTAACGTCTATGAATCTAGGTGGATGCAGAAGGCATATGGCTTCAATAGCTGCAAAGGCA